AAAAGTTGGAATAGAAAAGTAAATGGCCAGTAGGACCTTCACATAGTAAAAGATTTCGACAAGGACATGAAAACGGATGGTCCCACCCCCTAGGACGCATTTTCACCTAATCAACCTTGTTGCTAACACAAAAAACACCAAAAAAGACTACCTTCTCTGTTATTTCATCATTTACTTTCGGCCGAGCAGAAGCAAGTCTTCCAGACACCTCTCTGAGTGTTGTGCAACTGCTGCGCAGAAGTTGTAGTGTGAACGACCGTATCCGTCATCCCATTTTGCGACTGGGAAGAGCCGTATCGTGTCCTTGAAGGTCTGCCGATGCCGTGAAAATCCGACGGAAAATGGCTCCATGGTATAGTAAGCACGAAAAGTCGAGCTCGATGTCGACGGCAAATCTAATCTGCATAACCGAGCAATGCGGAATGTTCCTTCCTGAAGCGAGTGGCTCCACGAATCCAACTGTAGCGAGCATCGATCGCCAGTGGGCCGTCCTCTTGCGATGGGTGAGCGTGCGACACAGAAGATAGTCTCCAGCAATCCAAGACACGCTCAATCCGGGGACCTCGAGAGTCGACTCCATCGGCAGGAAACTGCGCAGGGACTCATTGTGGAAGGGTCAACTTCTACAGAAGGGACACGCCCTTCTGAACGGTCAGAGAAAACTTAGGGTGGGCAAGGTGACTGGTGAGTTAAGGCGCCGCTGACTCACTCAAAAACAAATTACAATACAAACATAGGACTAAACCTCCCCCTCAATCTACTAAAATTCCTGAATCGTTATTCTCTAGCCTGTAGTTTGAAGAGGTACTATTGATCCCCAGACTTTTTTAAAGACCAATCCCTTTTGCGTAACCTAGGAAGTGTGAAGGAGAAAAGGGTGATTTTCCATAACCTTACGGATCGGAGTGGGCTAACTAAGAAGATGGTTGGCTCATGACTTCGTAAATAAGAAGCCTTAAAGCAGTAAAGAAAATTAAAAGACCCTTTTTTGGAATTCCCTTTTCCTGGTCCCACCCATTCCGCTCCCTCTCTTCAACCCCTTTCATTTCGTGCATCAGAGCTGCCACCAGTTGGGGGGAATCTGAAGAACCATACCTTTGCCATTCCCCTACCATCCTCCCCCTCCCTCCTCCCCGCTCCCTTAATCCCCGCTACCTATACCCTATTTTGCCGGTACAAGCTTGGAATCTCAAACACCACGAAGCCAGAATCGAATATCAAAATAGAACTGCTATTCTTCCCCTTATTACAACCACTCGCAATTGTAAACCCTTAATAAACTAGAGAATAACAATCGGGAATCTCACCTAACTAACACCCCCAACAAAAACAAACAAATTCTAACATACTCAAATAATACTAACATTACTTAAATAATTCACAACACAATTAGATCACCTAAACCCTTTATACCTACGGTGTGAAAGTTATATCCTAGGTTAGTTAAAGTTAAAATCTTAAAAAGAAATATTTACTAAAATTTCCTATGAGGCGCCTTTCTCACCAGTACCTTTTTACTACAAAATCTTCGTCCTCCGTCCTCGTCCTCGTACTGGAACCTCCTCTCGACCGGACGTCTCATCTAAAAATTCAAGCAAATCATTCTGTGAACCGACATACTTAGGAAAGCTGAGATTTTTTACCTCCCATAAACGACGCTTCGAAGAGTGACCAATCGCCACCGGCCAATCGCCGTTGAGCAGCAGATCTAAGGTTATGCTGCATATCGGGTGGTACCAGAGCATCATCGAAATCTAGTGGTCTAGGGTCCACGGAGAGTCGTATCGTCGATTGAAGTCGAAGAACTGCGTGCGGAAGAACGTCCAAGTCCAGTTGTGCCAGAAGCAAATCGAAGTTCGGCGAAGTCAGAGCACCGAAACGTAGTGGTTTCGAGGGACGTCGAAGAGTCATCGTGTTAGAAGACCATCGGAAAGTGTCGGCACGGAATGTAGGGTTGCTCCACCTTAAAAATGACACATTTCGCTTCACGTCAGAGAACAATTCCCGAATCAATATGCACTATTGAGAACGACATCGTGGCCTACTCACTGGTGAAAGAAGACTGTTTACATGTTGTGACCGATATGGTTCGGCCAAAATCCGGTACTGCGAAGTCGTGTCCCCAACAAAATGCCGGGCCGATTAAATCCACCTAAAGAAAGGATTTTTTTGAGTATTTGCACCACAAGTGAGTACAAAGTGCATCCTAAGTGCGGAGTGCCTTACCCTTTGGAGTAATGCCACCGAATTTCTCCAAGGAAAGTGCCATCAATCGAAGTAGGACAGTCGGCGGTGGCATTGACGAGCTGAAAATCAACATTTTATAGAGAGTGAAGAGGCTTTCACGAAAAAACTTCTTACCTTGACCGTTTCGTGGCGATACCGGTCCCGTAAATTCGCAAATTGCCGTCGCTTGCCCATATGGCCGAGATAGGCGGGACCAAAACAGCTTGCCAAATGGGCAGGGTGCGACGGTTGCGCTTCGGAAGGCTTGCCGACCTGAATCACTTGTAATGAGAAGAGGGATACGGTAGATGACGCTACCAAGTAAGAAAACGCACCCGTGATCCCCACAGGACCTCTGTCTCCTAGGATCGGCAGCACCCTCCGGAACTGTCGCTGCTAGAGCGAACTGAAATGCGGCAGTCATTATCACTCTTACTAAATGAGTTTTTGGTTGGACGTACCCCTGATCCCCATTGGGACCGACTGCAGTATGCCTGCTGAATCCATTCCCTTGCACCGAACGCTTCGTTATCAATTGCGACTGTCGTTCCACTCGTTTGCTGCCCATTGTTGGAGAGTTGAACTTGGTTGACGTTGACGTTGACGTTGTTGCTGACGAAGTTGACGCCATCTCTGCAAGAGTTTCTGAAAGGACAAGCACAACAAAGTACGAACGAATCCAGTAAATACACTGGAAGCTTCACGAATCGGTGACAAAGCCGATGAGCTCAAGCTTCTTTCCTCGCTTGTAGTTTGGTCAGCCATCAAGAACTAACCACAACTCAAGCGATGAAGACGACGCTTTTCTGGATCAGTTCCATCACCGATTAAAACAGGCTAAAACCGCTTCCATACTTCAGCAGCCCCACAAGATCACCATAACATTTTAGCGCACCCGCTTTCGAACGAATCCGAGAGACTACTGTGTATCACTGAAGTGTGGAACCAGTAAAAATATTATTAAGTTGGGCTTAGTCTCAGATTTCCGCAGCGGCATCGGTGGCTGGCATGCTATCCTTTCCGTTTCTGGAGCAGGGGTGGTAATACTCGGTGGTCATTGTCTCTCATTGATCAGTTGCTCCGATAAGGACATTAACTGTGCGTCGTCGCAATTGGTCCTTCTCCATTTCTCCGCTTCATACGGCTTAAGTTCCAGTACTTCTAGTTCCAAAGGATTCTGCAAGTATTACCAGCGTTTTTTGACGCGCTTGATGTAACAAATGTTTTTTTCAAAAAAGGATGAAAATGGGCAATCTTGTGTCATATCAGTGGGATAAAGTGTAGTGGGAAAAACGGGCCACGGCTCTTCCCTATTACTATGCTCTGGAGCGCAAAAATGAATAGATGGCTTTACAGTACTGCATTAGTGTTTAGAGTGTTGGTTCATCAGCCAAGAGTTACGGTTTTTATACTGACAAAAAGTTTCAGCGTTGAAAGAGTTCTTGATGATTACCTCGTGCGAAAAGCTGGGATTGGAGAAGAGTCGAACATCCAGTTGATCGATGATTCATTTCTTTCCAACATACCGGTAGCGTGATAACATATTACTACCACTTAGAAAGCATCTTCTTCTTTCTCCTTCTCTTCTCATCTTATCTTTCACAATCTAAAACTAGTATAAGTCCATGAAATGTCTTTAGCTCGGTAACACATACACATTCACGGAATTACTCCAGGAGAACAAATTGAAAAAATCGACACGACACGAGGAATGAATGTGAAAAAAGAGTATACCCTAAAATTCCATAGATAAGAGCGGTTGAAACTACCGGTGAAAAATGTATTGGAATGAAATTGAAATTGAATGCAGTCACCCTCTAACTTGATGGATGGATAAATTGAACTTCGAAGAAGAAGTTAAGAGGAAGCTCCGCCCCTTAACTCCAAACCCCGCCCACTTAATAAACAATTCATATCGAAAAATAGCGATCCCTTAAAATCGCCATTTTTCTATATCAACTGTTTATTAAGTGAGCGGGGTTTGGAGTTAG